AAGGACATGAAACAGTCATTGAAAGGGATGCATGTTCTCCTGTGCTCACTGCAGCCCTGCCTACAACAGACAGGCCCTGGGAACAGCCCAGGTGCCCAAGGACGTTGAGTGGATCAGGAGGATGTGGTGCATGCACAGTGGAATACTACTCAGCTATCAAAAAAATAAAAACACTAGCCATTTGCAGCAACACGGATGGAGCTGGAGGGGATGATGCTAAGTGAAATAAGTTAAGAGAGAGATGGATACCAGATGGCGCCATTTATTCATGGAATATACGTGGAATAGAGAAATCAAACATAGGGTCAGATAAAGCCAAGCTTAGTTCTATCTAAGAATTAACTCCAAGAAGTTAATTATAAAGCTACCAGAGGGGGAGGGGTGAGAGCAAGGTGGTGGGAGCACAGTGGACTATGGTGAGGACTTGTGGTGTCTTGGCGGTGGGTGTGGCGGTGGGTGTGGTGGATGTGGCAAGGGGCCGATCCTGTACTTCCAAAACACAGACATCGTTGTAAACCAATGTTACCTCAACACAAATAAAATAACATTTGCCTTTTTATTTCTGAACTCTAATCTTTAGGCATTGCCAGAAACTTTGAAAGATTACTCATTCTGCTATGGGGATGGGTAGTTAGGCACTATGTCACACAATTGACTTGAAACCTGACTCAAACAGCTTGGTTAAAAAATGATGTTGACCATAGATCTGTGTTCTCTGGTAATTCATCTTTGACTAGAGGACAGGCCATAGTTATAAATGTCTGTGTGGGGTGGAGTGGGGTGGAGCGGGGTGGGGTGGGGTGGGGTGTGTGTGTCAAAAATTCCGATAAAAACTCTACCATGTTTGGTGTTGGACAAATGTATAATACCCTTCATCATGTCATACAGAGCATTTCCATTGTGGATGGGTCATGTGTAAAAATCTGCTATTCTCTGCCAATTATTCATCTCTCTTCTCTACCTTCTGGTAACCACTGATCTTTTTACTGTCTATGTGGTTTTGCTTTTTCCAGAATGATCTATAGTTGGGGTCATACAGTATTAAGCCTTTTCAAATCGACTATTTCTCTAAGTAATATGCATTCAAGCTTCCTTTTTGTGGATACATCATAAAAGGCCAACAAACCCATAAAAAGATGCAAATTAAAACCTAGAGATATTACAATTTACCCAGGAGAGTAGATAAAATGAAACAAACCCAAAATCTGACAATCCCAAGTAGTATCACCAATGTGTTCCCTACTATGACAATGGTGTTTTTCGTCATGAGGATGTATCAGGCAAAATTCACAAAAATGTATATTTTGGATAGATGCAGTTTATTGTATGTAAATTTCACCCCAATGCCCTTGATAAGGTATAAGCCCACGGTAGAATGGAATTGTTTACCCTCTCCATGAAGCACCAGGGATAGAGATGCTTAGGGATCTGCTAGAGCTGCTGCTGTTGGGCACAGACTGCTGGAGCGAAGGAAAGGGAGAAACCAGAGGAAACAGGTGTCCCGAGAAATGACCTCTGTAATTGAGACTCTTGGTCTTGTCCCAACCAGTGATGTCAAGACACTTCCCCCTCGGACTTAAGACATGTCTGGTTTTCAACTGTGAAAATATTTTTTAAGATAGCTTCCTTATTTTCCCTTTTCTTCCCTATTTGTAACCAGAGTCTACTGAATTATCTAAATATCTAGAAGTAAGTCACTTACATTCACGTGACTTTCCCTGTATAGGGAAATGTGAGGGGATGTGAGGAAAGAACTTTGGATCCTGTCAATTTCTGAGGTCATAAGTGAATATTCTTTGGAAATTACTTAAATGGTAGAAATCGATTTAAAGTGTGTAGGTTTTTTAAGGAGGTTTGGATAATACAGGCAATGTGTTGGGTTTATGCTTTCAATAGTTAGCATGTAAATTTGCCAATTTGTCAATACATATTTTTCTATCATTCACAGTTACTTGCCATATGAAATAAGTAACAAAAATGAAATAAATGAGTATGGGAAACTATTTAAATTTTATGCTTACACAGAAAACTAGCATTTATTGGATAGCTGATGTGTTAGATATTGTAAGGCACTTTGTGCGTTTTTTTCTCATTTTGTCCTTAATATTTTTATTTCCCATATATTTTACACTTATTTTCTCTACATTTTTCTTGGGCTTACAAAACACAGAGGAAGAGAGGTTTGTGCTTACAGTGCCCTATCTAAAATCAGATTTGTATCACACATGATTTAAATTTCTCAAACAAGATGATTTTTTTCCTATTTGAACACGAATGCTTTTCAGAATGGCAGCCTGCATGGGTCAGTCTGGTCCTCCAGGTACAAGGTTAAGTGTCAGCAGCCTGAAGAAGGTTTTGGTTGATCCCTGTTACTATAGCAAAGGATGGGGCCTCCCTCCTAAGTCATGGCTCCTCCCTTGATGATCCTTCACTTCTTCTTACAGTGACCTCCTCACACCTTTATTGTCAAACATAACATGACAACAATTTAGTACTTTAGTAATTTCAGGATGACAAAAGGGCTTATTAGAAATAATATATAAAATTTCAACGAAGTTATTTTTTATGTAAACACAAGCATTTTCACCTGAACACCACTTTAGCTATGTCTCAGGTTCTGAAAGTGTACATATCTATATATACACCTATATTTCATATATACACATATATTTCATAGTAGTTAATTTGTTTATGGTAGAAAGCCTTTGGAGAGCTATGGAAAGGTTTGGTTAACGAAGATGGGGCTGATTTTAGGTGGATGGTAGGTGGGAGGTGGAGGAAGGGACAGGGAAGCTACAGATCATAACAGATTTGTGAGCTCAGCCAAACACAGTGGTGACAACACCTCACTGCTCCAAAGCAGACATGTTCTAGAAATACTCGTGTATATGGGCAAAAAACTCCATGACTGTGTTGTGACTAATGGTATAACAGCTATTTTAGTTTCTTTTCTGTGTAAAGTAGAAAGCATTTCCAACAAAGGGTTTTAACGTAAATTGTTTTTGTATCCTTGCTAAATGCAAGTCTGATCATGATGCTGAATAATATATTTTTTAAAGACACTTTTAAAGATCTTTAGTTGGGGGTCTCCCTGGTGGTGCAAGGGGTTAAGTCTTAGCACTATGAAGCTATTGGCAGCCACTGTAGCACCAGATTGATCCCTGGCCAAGGAACTAACCCACATGGTGCAGCAGACCTCTCCTATCTTATCCCACTGCTCCCCTGAGCAGTGTCTCTCAACCCCACATGGTGCAGCAGACCTCTCCTGTCTCTCCCGCTGCTCCCCTCAGCAGTGTATTTCAGTCAATCTACCTGTTCTGTTCCCCACCCTGTCTCTGGTGAATCCTCTCACCACCCCCCACACCTCTGGCCTGTACCCCAGTTCTTGTATACATAAATAAATAAATCTTTAAAAAAATATTGGGTAGAAATACTTTTTTTTTTTAAAGATTGATTGATTGATTTATACATACATTCATACAAGCACTGGGTACAGTCAGAAGCGCGGGAGGGTGAGAGAATTCACCAGAGCCAGAGCGGGGAGCAGAGCAGGCAGAAGGACCGAAGTACACTGCTGAGGGGAGCAGCGGGCGGCAGGAGAGGTCTGCGAACCATGTGGGACCCTCCTCCCGTGGCCGGGGAGCAGCCGGGGATTGAACCGGTGCTGCAGAGGCTGCGGGCAGCTTCGCAACCCAGCGCTCAACCACTGCGCCACCGGGGAGGCCCTTGGGTAGAAATACTTCTTTGGCAAACCTGAGAAACAGAAGTTTCCCTCTTCCCTTCTCAACGATGATAAGCTGCAAGCATGTAAATGAATGCCTGCCGGCTCTTCTCCTGACTGTTTCAAATGTCTTACATTTGACTGGCATCTTCCATTACTGACTTTGGCATGTCATCTGGGAAGCTTATTTAAATTTGAAATGTGTCTTAAAATTTACTGGAGGACCTATAGTGATCATCCATTTCTGCCACAGCTAACCCTGCCATTAAGGGCGTCTTATTTTTCTCCTAGATTGTAAATTCATTATACAAGTCCTGTATCTTACAGGCAGTCAATTCTTATTAATTTATTTTACTTCCACGACTCCTGAATAATATTAATAAAATTCCCACGATGTTCATATGAATAATTGAAATACTCCCAATATCTGCCTCATCTTCCTAGTATAGCTAGTCGTGTTGAAATTTTCAGTTGTCTCATTATAATAAATAATCTGTGCTCTCTGCCGAGTTTACCACTAGGGCAGCTGAGTGAGTAGGTGTCATGTGAGACCATGAGCCCTCCTGTTTGGTCTGTGTCCAGGGCAACAATCCCTGCTCCCGGCCAGTGTGTCCCCTCCTATCTTACCAACTGGCTTGTTTGCGAGGGGTAGGGTGTCCTGAAGACATCCTATTTCTTCGGCTTCCCTGCAGGTAAGAGCAACCGCGCCCTTTCTGGCCACTGGGATGTGAGAGAAATTGCTGAGCCAGAAAGTTCCTGCCTGGATTTAGGGCAAGGCTGGAGGGAGAGGATCAGGATGCAGCAAGGGTTAGTCAACTAGAAAGTCCCAAGGTGTGAACAGCCAGACAGGTAACTTACAGGGGGCAGCACAAAATGAAAACGTGGGGCCCTTGTTCAGCAGTTATTAATCTTTTAAAAGTGCCATCAGCAGAGCATCAACCCCGGGCCGCGCTCTTGTAAGAGAGGCTTTGGGACTGCACCCCGGGGGCCTAGGAGGGCTGGGCACGGCCCTTTCTCCCCAGAGGGCGCAGTCTGGGCTGTCTGTCGTCTTCCTCCCATAGCCACGGGGTGGTGCTCGTCCTCGTTTCTCAGCTGGAGACAGGGACGCTCGCCCATTCCTGCCTGGGTCACGGCGGCGCCTTTGGGGCATGGGCTCAGGTCTTATGAATTTGGGTCACATCTTCTTGTGCCAACATATGCTGTGGAATGAAGCAATGCGTGAATGATGTGTTGGTGGGTTTCTATAAACCCAAGGAGAGGCAGCAACATGTCAGAAAGAACATTTTTACTTTGAAGTAAGGAAGGCATTTATTGTAGTGAGGAATGCTGAAGTTTATCTAGGACCTTCAAGCACATAAAGCCATTTGCTCCACTTGTGTGGATGAGACAACGCTGAACTACAAAGAATCACAGTGCTGTAATTCAGATAATGATGATGTGATGCATTTTAGCCCATCTATTCCAACTTAAAATTAGATTAAAAGGACATATTGAAGCATTTTTCACAAATTTCCAATGACAGAGTCATGCCTCTCATGACTCCAAACCCTAACCTCTATTCCGGTCAATCTTTCTTCTTACTGTGGTGATTGGTTATCACAAAGCTGCTTATTGGAGGAAACTTCTAACAGACATTTAAACATTTTCTCCTCAATGGAGTTTGTGGAAAATTAGCATGATATTTGAGGCAACATAAAAAGACAAAAAGAAAATCTGTAAACATCAACCAATAGAAAAGTGTTCAGCAGGAGGCAGACAACAGCAAGGTCATTTACAAGTTCACAAACAGTCTGTCCTCATCGGTGGAGACACTGCACCTGGTGCCGTCCTGGGATACCTGTGTACACCTGCCACGGGTGCAGGGCTCAGGGCATAGCTTCCACCTGAGGGCTGTTGTGTCTGTTGCTGCCTCTGCTGAGGGCTTGACACAACTTTTCTGAAGGAGCTTATTCTCGACTTTCTGGAAAACAGTCTAGAGGCAGTTCTTTGCAGAGTGAGGCCTGTGCAGAGACACCAGGAGCTGGGCCGTGGCATCTGGCTGGCTCCCTAGATGTAGGATTCTCTGGCATACAGGAGCTGGTGGGCCTCAAAGACCGGCTGACTGCAGGTCCGCACCAGATAGTCCTGCTTATTCTTCTGTCTGGACTCAGACAGGGTTCTGAGCCGGAGCAGCTCAGGTCTCCGTGTGACAGTCACATGGCCTGTGGGCTCCGTGGATGCGCAGTCGGCTCCCTTCTGTTCCCAGCTCTCAGTCCTGTGCCCGCCAAGTGGCTCCTGACTGCACAGAGTCCTTGACTCCCCTCTGGGGAGATGGGGTAGAGCGGGTGGTGGCTGGACCTCCAGGCTGAGCATCCAGGCCCTCATGCTGTCCACCGTCTGGCCCCCGCAGGCCGCAAGCTCGGGTGCCCGGCACCGGATGGCCTCCTGGTAAGAGGGTGGCTTTCCAGGGCTCCTCTCATCCACCAGCCGGAACACCTCCTCTGTGGAAAGGGCACAGGGCCTGGGGCTGAAGTCCAGAGCTGGGTGGCTGTGGCTCTCAGGCCAGCCTTCCCGAATGATCCGGCCAGCCAGCTGGATTTCCTTTTTGAAGCCCCTGCTGACTTGGTCTTTGGAGACGTCTTTGGACTTCACAGAGCTGAAGCTGGGGGTCTTAGTCAGCCCTCTCTTGTGAGAGGCAAAGGAGAACGACATGGAGTGTTTTTTGATTTCTCTGCTGGGCTTGCTCTTCTCGCCCTTGGTGAAAGACCTGTGTCTGGTGAAGAGATTTCTTTTGGGACTGGCAGGAGAAGGCAGGGGTGAGCCTTCAGAAGAGGCATCCAGAGAGCCGCTGGACGGGGCTTTGGGCGCCAGGCCGCACGGGGACCCCGAGTCCTGAGCCACGTTCTCCCTGCTCAGGCCGGGTGGTCCCTGCTGTTTGCGTTCACTGGCAGGAAACACCTCCTCTGGGAATGGGTCTTCGGGGTCTTCACTTTCCAATCCAGAACCTGCAGGTGCCACGGTGGGGTCAGCGTTGCTGCTGGGGAGCGTGGGGGCCGGGTCCCTGCCCTCCAGGCAGCCCAGTGAGGACCACACGCTGGGTTCTGAGTGGCTCCTCTCTGGGTGGCCGAGCGCGTTCCTCAGCCGGGTCACCGCACTCGCCGTGGACTCCGGACTCAGCTCCCACGTCTGCTGCAGGTCCCTGGGCTCTGCGGCCGCCTGGGGCTGCCTGCCGGGAGAGCTGACCCTGCTGCTGGCCTCGGCATCGGGGTCATTGCTGTCATAGGCTGAGTCGTTCTGCAGGGTGGACACATCTGGGGGAGGGAAGGGACAGTTGAGCATCTTGTACAGTTTCTTTCAGAAATAAATTTTAACATCATCCCCCGACTCCATCAATGAGGGCACGTGGCCATTTTGTGAAGGTCCTCTAGGGCTTGCTGGGTAAGAGATCTGCCACGATAAAGTGGTATTTCTTTTCAAATCTACTAGTTTGAGGTGAAGTAGGAAAAGGAAATATGAGAATGAAAGAGAGAGAAAAGACAAAAAACTTTCCACTTAAAAAACCTTCAGTTTAAAGATGGACCCCTTGGGCCCACTTTCTGGAGAGAATTTCCCTTTTAATGGACAAATATTCCAGTTCACAGACACACAGAGGTCTCCCTCCACCCAGCCCGCAGGCTGCAGTGAACGGGTAACATTAGCTGCGCATGATTCGGCGCAGGAGGCTGTGCGTCTGCAGGCTGAAGAGATGTGGCAGAAAAAGTTCAGAGCTAAGTTTTCATGCTTAGCAACTTCCCTGTGGACTTGAGTCTACTCGGATTTGGTGATTTGTGAGGATACCTGATGCTTCAAACAGCAGAGACATTTTACAGAGCTGGTGCAGATGTGTGCGCTGGCAGGGACGCCCCCCATCACCGTCAGTCAACAGCACATTCCATACCTGAACTGTCAGTGTGTTCCAGGGAGTCATCAGAAGTGATCCTGGAGTGTGCCAGAATGTTCTCCCCAAACATTTCAAGGCAGTTATCGATGAGGAATTCCACCAGTGTGTTAACCTGTGAGGAGAAAGAAGCAGGCTGTCAGCTACAGACATCTTTATTAGATTTTTAGGCTGAGTAGGGAAAGAATGGGGATAGAGCAGGGTCAAATTTTGGGAGATGCCCAAAGGAGCCTAAGAGCTCTTTATTGACCTGGAGAGACAGAAAATTGGCGATGGTCACGTGTGTTCACGTTACTGTTGAGTTAAGCATTTTTCCCTTCGAGAATTTAAGTCTTTAAAGGAACTAAAGGTTTTGATGAAGTAAGGAATTTCCCACGTTGGCAGTGGGGGCCACAGAGTCCAATTCACAAAAGGGAAAAAAGAGGAAGGGCTTTGCTACCCAGAGGGAGTGCTGCAAACACCTGCAGCATGTCCCCTGCCTTCCAGGGCGACAGAGGACACTTCAGGGTCAACCCGTTTCATCCATCAGGAGAGTGGAGCTGTGGCCAGAGTGCTCTGCACCTCCTTTTCTGAGTCAGGAGGAGCACTTAAGAGCCATTGCCCAGCTTGGCTTTGGCTGACGTGGGTGAGATTATACGTTAGGAAAGAGACAGGAGCAAGAGAGAGGAGCAGACCTTATGGTTCAAGTCTTTCTGGGCCTCTAAGGACAGGCTCTGGGCATCGCCTCGGGTCAGCATGCTGGGTCCCACGCAGATGGCAAGGTTGCTGGCATCCATCTTGCTGGTCTCGGAGTTCTTGCTGATCCAGTAGAGCATGGATAGTAGGGGCTTGAGCAGCAGGAGGTTGGGCCGGGGCAACTGGTCTGCAACCCTAGAATCAAGATCAGGAGCCTGGTGTGAGAGGCTGCTCATGGTCTAGCTCTCGTGCAGCAGTTGAGTTTCTGTTTAAGCCAGACTTCCTCTAAAATGAGGAAGGTGCATTTGCACAAGTAACTGTGCAATATTCATTCAGACCTGCCAGCGGCGGCCGACACGGACTGAAACTGGCTCCCCACGAGGTCTCAGGGGCCCAGCATGCCAGGGACACACGGCACAGCAAGAACAGCCTATATTATTTACATGTATCTCCAATCATGATGCAGTGGCTCCTGCATTAAACTGCAGCGGTTACAACATCGTGAAAATCATTTTGCTGTGATCATTTAACTTAGCCAGGTGGCTTTCTGCTTCTGACACAGTATGGCTGTCGTTTTTTGTGGCGGGGGTGAGGGGGGATTGGTAAAACCAGTTGCCTTTTTTTGAACTGTGCTCATCAAGTGAAGATGACACATTTCTATATCCTTCTGAGAAATCTTTATGGAGAATAGATGTTTTTAAGGGCAGGGTTGAAAAAACAGCAACCAATCAGCAGTGCTGTATCAAACAATAACTACATTTGTAAAGTCTCACTTTATCGAGCACTGTTATGGTGACTGGGTCATTTTCATTTCTCGTAAGAAGTTATTATTAGGAAAGGGTTTCTGTCTTGAAGTAGGAACTTACTGTGAAATCTTAGGATTTTTTATCGAGGGACAGACACTAGCGTCTGCAATTCTAAGAATATTTCATTTGGAAATATTTAGTGATGTGGGACGTTTATAACGCATACACAAAGTTCCCCAGGATCTGGCAAAAGTGATGATATTTTCAAGTTGTCATTTAAGATTCATCTCTAATAGATCACACATAGATTTACAGATGTAGTTATCTTTGCTGTCACTGGAAATTGCTTTCACTAGTCCTTACTTTGGTTAGTTATAAGGATTTGAAATAGGCAATGGAATTGTGTGAAGAAAGCAGCCCCTTCCTCGAGGCTGTGTTTTATTGGAGAATGTTTTATTGGAGAATTCTCATCTGCATAATGGCAACCTACATAGGTTAAGGAAAACCCAAATTCTTACATGCTGCTGTTTTGTCTACTTTGAGGCTTTCATCTAAGATTTTGTCTCATATCTTTTTGAATTACTTATACTTTACGACTCCCCCACCTCTTGGGATTTGAGACTACCAAAGTTTACTTTCTTCCTTTCTAAAAAGTACTTTCATTTGGCTGATGCTTCTTTTTTCAATGTCCAAAGTACCTCCTGATTTCTGTTCTGGGAGCAGATGAACAATTTCACTCAGATTTCCTAAACTTGCCATTTTTTGGTGAAACACTTTGACAGTTATGTGAGGAACCCAAAGGTGGCGGTCGTGGGGCCTCCCCTCTGGAATGCTCAGGCTACTTACTGCTTCAGGGCCTCAATCCTGCCCTCCTCGCTCTTCTTCTCCAGGGCGCCCATCCACTCCTCGAACAGGTCACAGGAGAGCAGCTTCTGGGGGATGCTCCTAAGGAAGTCCTGGGGGGCGAGAGGGAAGCGGTTGGTCTTTGTGTTGTAGGATGGGCCATTTGATCCCCTCAGCAGTGCATTTCACTCAGTCTGCCTGTTCTGCTTCCCACTCTGTCTCTGGTGAATCCTCTCACTCTCCCCCCACACCTCTGGCCTGTACCCCAGTTCTTGTATGAATAAACAAAAAAATTTAAAAAAAAAATTGAAAATGTTCTAATCTATTAAAAAAAAAAAAACTCCAAAATGGGCTTATTGATGTGTAGAACCAATAAATGATATTGTTATTCCTGGGAGTCAACGAGTCATAGTGCATTGACGGGTTGTTTGGCTTGGGTGCTGAGAACTCACCTTAAGGACAACAGCCAGGAGGTGCACAGGCAGACTTTCCAGATCCACTATGCCTCCTGAATTGAGCTCTTCCTTTAGCTCTTTACGGGCTTTCTCGTTGGCTGCTTTTCTGAATATTCCTTCAGTGGAAGGGCCTTTAAGGTACAGAATAGCGAGAATATCCTATAGGAAACAGGTATAGGATAAGGACATGGTTATTCTAGGTTTGAAGGTAGAGGAGCTAACTTTATCTGTCATAAAATATCCTCCCCATTAAAGTGAGCAATCCATTTTACTAAGTATTAACAAGAAACTATAAATGCCAGATTTGTTTTCAGCTCAGTGGCTAACAACTGTCTTTCATGACCTTGCCATTTTTCTAAGAAGTGGTAGGTAAATTGTGAAAGCTCTAATTTTGTATATTTTAAAATTACTCCAGGCTCCCATCTTTCAAATCATTGCATACAAACCATGGATTTTGAGTGTTTACTTTATACCCAATCTCTGCTGATTTTTCAGAAGCTATACATTTCCAGACTTCTTAATTGTGAATTCTGAGGATGGAGGGGCCATCAATTTTAGCTCATTGGTCAATGCATTTAATTTATAGAATCTAGGCAGTTAGGATTTTCCTGTGTGCACTTGTATGTGAAACGCCATTTCCCAAAGTGGGAAAAACTAAAGAGGGACCCCAACAAGTTTAGGGTGAGATTTCCCAAGGATTTTTCACATCTCATAGTATGTAAGTGCTTGCCTACCTGGATGGGTCTGGGGAGTGTATCATCATCACAGATAACAGACAAGGGCTGATCAAACAGTGATGCTTTCAATTCTGGCTCTGAAGCTCCCGAAAAATCTGAGGAAAGTGGAAGTCTCCTCATCAGAGAGGGCCAGGACAACACCTTCTTTCTCTTTTTAATCTCTACAGCCAAGAAAACAAAGCAAAGAGAAAAATTAAGTTAAAATATTAATAAACAAAGATCTACGTAAGAAAATGGAATTCATCAGGCGCTTGATGCCAACAATTGGGGGGAATCATTTTGAAAAATGAAGACTGCAAAGGGCATGAATCTTAATCTAGAAAAATCAACCCGAAAAAACAACCACACCATTACCAGGGCAACCAGCCCCTAAATATCAACACCAAGGCTCAAAGGCCCCGCCTTTCCTGTTTTTAGTCTTCACCAGCTGTTTGCTACAAAAAATTAGCAAAGCTTAACTGCAGTCATAAACAACCAGCTTAACAACCTTAATAACTATTGTAGACATTTATGATGTGAAGTAGATTATTTTAATTTCTTCTGTGACTAGGGAAGAAAATGAAACTTATAAAGAAAGGAACTGAATTGCTCAAGATCATTTTGGGACATGGCTGGGTGGGCCACCAAACTGCAGCTAGCGCCCATCAACCGCTAGAGAGAGCTACAGTCTTCTGTCTGCAGTCACCTTCAGGTTTTCCTCAGTGGCTGCTTTAGAACGGGGAGGTAGGGGCACAGGGGCACAAATTGCTGCAGGAAGGCATGAACCTGGACCTGGCCATTGGGGATGATATTTCTTGCAAAATCCTAAAACATGTGTGCAATGGGGATTGCATCTCATAAGTTTCCCTCTTTCTCTATTTTCTCTCTCTCCTTCCCCTCCCGCCACAATTATGTAACCTGTGTTTTCTAAATGCATCCGTATATGTTTCCACATGTCTTATACTGCCAAGTTGAAGAGAATGGATAGAAAAGTGGCTTGTCCTCAGAGCTCCGGAGAAATGGCGCAAGCTTATATTTTAAGGAAATACATTATGAAAATAAATTAAGATTGCGTGGTGGGCAATTTGTGATTTAAGAGCAGCTGCAATTGATTCCTAGGCTCTTAGATTCATTCTCCATTAGGGAAGGAAGAGGCACCACATATTTTTCATATGCGCGTACGTTTCCACGGCCAGGAGCTCTGTAATCCCACTACAAAGCCCTTGGAGAGCTGGGGGATTGGCTGTACAGAGGATCTTTCCTATCAGCCACTTAGATTTTCTAGGTTGCTGGAGCAAGTCTATCATCAAAGTGTTAATGTTCTGCGGTCTTTAAAAGAATAGTTATAAAAAAAAAATTCCTAGTACAGGGCTGTGGTTTTGCAAACCAAGAACATTCGCCGTTAACACATAAAAGATCAGTATGTTTTCAAAACTCACCAATCAGCTGGCATATACTATCTTCACTCTCACTTGATACCAACAGAGGATGTTCCTTGATATCACCCTACAAATATATTTATTTTAGTTAAATACAATTTTTTCTTCCCCACAAAATACATATAACCTTTTACCCATATTGAAATTAGTCTTTAGAATCTGTAGTTTTTCTACCTTTTAGAATCAATATTAAATACTTAATGATCATCATATAAGATCCCAATTAATATATTTCCTGTATTTAGTGTGTTAACTTTCTACTCTGACAAATAATCTAAATGATACTCAAAATAAAAATTTCCACCTTCTCATAGTACAGATAAAATATTTTAAAAATTGCTTTCTTACCTCTGATTGACATTCAATTAATGTCTCCATATTATTGGCATTTAGTGTTTTTGACTGAAAAAAGAAAAAAAATCAAATTAGGAAATATTTTTTTTGATTCTTGCCTTTAGAAAATATAAATTAATAAGTGCAAGAGGGGGTACATACAGCATTGCAGCTACTTATTAACTTCATTAGACTTTGGGTTGACTCCCCAGAGGTGAATTCTGCTCCGTGGGACCTTAGCTCTGCCTCCGAGAGATCCTAACGGAGGGGGTAAAGAGGAGACATAAGATGTTATTAAACAGCAACTGAACTCATTTGTCTCTAAGTTACTCAAACCTGGTATCTTCACCATGCCAAACTCTCTTACTCATCCATCACCTCCCCATGAAGAGGTCATCTGAAAAGAACCTACGGTAACAACTAATACTATCTGGAATGCTGGCTATGCCAGTCTTGTACTAACTGCTTTGATTGGATTTTCTCATCTAAGCCCACTAGGAAAACAAAACGATTCTTAGGATGCTATTCATCATCGACATAAAACAAAACTAGCACCCACAGAATTCCTACCCCCAAACGTGCAGACTTCACCCTGAAACAAAGGCTCGCGTGTTCGAGTCTAGAACAGTTATCGCCACCCCACTGCTTAGCAGCTTTCCGTTGGATGTGTCTCTGTCCAGTGATGGCCTCGGGGCTCATTCTCTACCAAGTTAGTTTCTGGTACTCACCCTGGGAGAGGCTCCCGCCAGAGCTGTGTTACCTCCGGAAAGTGGGAGCAACAGCATGAACTCTGCTACTAATCCACTGGTGGCCGGGAGACTGGCAGCTCGAGTTTCACGTGTTCTGCGTTATAAACCAGAGGGGGCGGGCAGGTGGAAATTCAGATGTTACAGACCGGAAAGCTCATAATGGGCTATGACACAGCGGCAGGCTTGGGGGAGCTCTCACTTCCTCATTCCTTTTAGGGCAGCTCTGCCTCTTTTTTATCTCCCACTTCAAAGTAAAAAAAAAATCTGCAAACGACTAGGGTCGGAAAAGATGACATCTGGCCTTAGGTGAAGGGTCTGCTGAATGTCATAGGTGGGATGTGTGAATGAGAATTTGTGTTATTCAGTACGTAAACATTGTTTTATTTTCTAAAGTGGTAATTTCAGGTGCCTCTTTTTGGGGGATTATCTGTTCTGGGGCTGTCACTCCTCCCGCTACTGTTTATCAGTCACCAGCCCTCAGGAGAGTTTGATGGGGCTATAGGAAGTGGTCCCTCCAAGGAAATCGAGGAAAGGCCAACATCAAAGTGAGGTCAGTTTCCCCTGGAAGGAGGAGGAGTGTCCACTAGAGGCACCCCGAACCCCTCCTTTTCCTAACCCTTCATCAAAATTAGTAATATTTATAGTCACCAATATTTATAGATCAACTCTTTTTGACATGCAAGGAGAGCAAACAAGATAGTCCTTTGATATGAGCAATTTAAATTTAAAGTAGGAAGGAGATTGAGAATTTCAGCTGTGGGCACCCCCTGAGTAAGAGACTCTGTTTGGTCTTTGCTCTGGCTAAAAGGCATTATAGAAAATGACTCAAACGCCCCCACAGTAAAGTGTGCTTAAAAGGACAAAGAAGCGGGGCCTCCCTGGTGGACAGGGGTTAAAGTCTCAGCACTATTAAGCTATAGCCAGCCACTGCTGCCTGAGTTCCATCCCCGGCCAGGGAGCTGACCCACAAGGCTCAGCGGACCTCTCTTGTCTCTCCCGCTGATCCCCCCACTAGTGTGTTTCAGTAGATCCGCCTGTTCTGCCCCCCACTCTGTCTCTGGTGAATCCTCTCCCCTCCGCCCACATCTCTGGCCTACACCCCACACATCTCGTATGCATAAATAAATAAAATAAATCTTTTTAAAAAAGTTAAAAAAATAAAAGCACAAAGAAGAGACCCCCAAATGCTGGGCCCCCACCTAAACTTTATACCTGGTTTCATAGCAGTTTTAGCCTCTTGCAAAGTGCCACCCTAAGCCAATCAGTCTGGAGTCTCCTCCTTTACCTGTGGGAAGGTTCTTTTACGGGAAATAGTATTTTTTTTTTTTAAGATTCATTTATTCATGCATACAAGAACCGGGGTACAGGCCAGATGTGCGGGAGGGTGAGAGGATTCACCAGTGACAGAGTGGGGAACAGAACAGGCAGACAGATGAAGTACACTGCTGAGGGGAGCAGCGGGCGAGACAGGTGAGGTCTGCTGCGCCATGTGGGACCCTCGCCGGCCGGCCGGGATCGAACTGGCGCTGCAGAGGCTGCGAACAGCTTCAGAGCTTGGTGCTCAACCGCCTGCACCACCAGGGGAGGCCCTACCTGAAATACTATTTTCTTTTGCTAATAATCTGTCCCACCCTCTTTCTGTCCATAGAGACCCTGCATTACAGGTGAGCCCTTGCAAGATGGAGATGGGAAGCTGTCAATTCAGGGATCACTCAAGAAAGCCATTAGATCTCTAAATCTGTGTATGTTGTTTTTTAACCAGTGGATACATTGTGACAGTCACACTTTTTTGGAGTTTGGCCAAAAATTAAAAAAGTGCTTTGCAAAATTCTGCAGGCAAAACACAAAAGCAGTGCCAGCAAGCTGAGTGTTATGCGTGTCCATCTCCTGATCTGGGGGACGCACGTCTCCTGGGCACACTTCTGTCTGGATGTTATTCTTTGGCAAAAAGTTCAAAAGTAACCTGACGAGATTCAGCAGCAGCGCCTTCATTCTGAGACTTATTCCTAGGACCGCTCTGATGTCTTTACTGGAAGGTGGTCACGATTGGCGTAATTCAGGAAACTGAGGCACAGAGGAGTTGAAGTCTGCCCTGTAAGGCAGTATTTCAGTGGGTGACTGACAGGTAGATGTGGGGGTTCAGGTTCTAGCTGGAGACAGGACCCCTCCTTTAAAACGCTCACTGCACCCGAGGTCCCCCCCGCCAGATGCTGCTGCCTGTTCAAGTTTCCTCTCCCAACTTTACAAACCTCTGAAATGAACATCGAGATGTTTTTTAAAGGGACATTTAATTGCACTTAACTAGACACATAGCAGGTATTCAATAAATACCTCCTGAATAAATACATTAATTTATAAATCTTACCAGACATAATACTATAATCTATATATTTGGCAATGTGTGTTTTAGGGACTCTTATTTGACATACTGACCTTGGGTTTGTGCTAAGGAACCTGATGCTCGCGCTGCCCTTCCAGCTGATGTACCTTCCGACCAAATGTTGCCCTCTTCTTAAAATTGAAGACCATGCTTTTTCTAAGCCTTAGGGCTCCTTTCTCTTTTGTGCTTTCTACCCCACGATATGCATTATACAGTGGGCTAAGACTGTGTTTTTGTTTTTGGCCAGGGAATTTGACTTGCAAAGGAAGGTGAATTTAGAATCCTGATAAATAAAATGAAAAAGAAAAGTGTTTTAAGTGGGAGGAGGATGAGGAAGTCATGGGCCTGTTCATTTTGACTTTTCTCCTGAGAGGTGCACCTTGGGGCCTGGAGGACACTCAAAAACTCAGAGTTTGGCTGTATCAGCAGTTCTCAAAGTGCATGCAGGGAACCCTGGGGTTCCAGAGCCCCTTTTGGAAGGCTCCTACTTTTGATGTGAAAGCAGGCCAAAACGCCTTTTATAACAGCACTAAGATGCTATTTGCCTTCTATTCTCTCAGGACCGTAGGGTGGAATCTTCCAGAAACTCCAGGAGGTAGGCATGCAGACTCGGGTATTCTTCTGGTGTTTTACAATTTTCTCAGCTTTAAGTTCTCCTGAGATTCAGATCGGTAGATATAACTTACATCAATTAACGCTCTTTAGAGATGGCGATGATTTTGCAAAGGGTTCCTGGGACAGAGAAGCCTGCGAGCCGCCGACCGCACCTGTGCAGGTGAGAACGCCTGGCCCAGCCGAGCCCGGGTCCCACCGTACCTTCCCTTCCAGCCACAGCCACCGTGAACATCCGTGGAAACTGTTTTCAAGGCGCAGTGCCTGAGAACGAGGCACCCTGATATTGTGGATGAATCTTGTTGACAGGGAGTGAGAATAGGGCGCTCGCCTGCTCGCCTCACCTGGGCTGTGACTTCCCACATGTCCCCACAGTCGGCCCCTGGTCCCCTCCTCTCCCTCTGCTCCCAGCCTCGGCTTGCCCCTTCCTCCTGCCCCTCCTGTGACACTGGCCACTGGTCCCTCAGCCCTCACCTGTGGAAGGGAGAGGGGAAGTTAGTCGGATAGAAGAAAAGGGCCATTTCCTGTTGGGCACGGAATTCTCAATTTTTTTGAATTTTTAAGTGAGCTTTGATTGTTGCTGGGTTATGTTCGGTTTTTTCCTCTCATGTAGGAGTCATGTCTTTAAATTTATTATGAAATCGAAGAAATATAGACTTATGTAAGTACTTCAGTTGAGTAATGATGCTTTTGAAAAGCAGGATAAAGGGTTATGTCTGCATTAATAATATTGTGGCCACTTTGGATATTTTATTTTATTATCTTATTATTTGTTTAAAGATTTATTTATGCAGGCAAGAACTGGGGTGTGGGCCCGAGGTGCAGGGGGTGAGAGGATTCACTAGAGACAGAGTGGGGAACAGAACAGATGGAGCGACTAAAATACACTGCTGAGGGGAGCAGCGGGAGAGTCAGGAGAGGTCTGCTGTGCCATGTGGGTAGTTCCCTGGGTGGGGATTGAACTCATGCTGCAGTGGCTGAGGGAAGCTTCATAGTGCTGCGCCCTAACCCCTTGCACTACCAGGGAGACCCACTTTGGATATTTTAAAAGAAATAAATGATAAAAATGTGAATGTCATAAATTATATTGAATTATTATCAAATAAACGATATTGAGTAGAAATTCCCTCTGTTCTAGTTTCACCTTCTAGTTTCTAGTTTCATTTTCTCTTCCTTCTCCTCCCTGTCCCATCTTCCCCTCCTCCTCCTGTCCCCTCTTCTGTGTTTGAGGTTATGGGACTACACATTCCCTGACACTGGGTTTCAAGAGAGCAACTAATTGAAGGTCCTATTTCTATTCACATGTTTTTCTCTCTGTCACACCCCCATGAAATTGTCTCCTCTAGATGATTCTTGAAGTCCTGTGTGCCGAGGGCATTGCTACTGTCTGGTGATCTGCTTCCCTAACCTGGCACAAGGTCCAATCCTGCCTGAGGGGAGCCTGCCTTTGTTGGGGGCTCCTCTGCTCACTCCCTGCCCCGCTGCCCCACCCCAAGCCAATGAAACTCCCCAAATACTTCTCTTTTTGAAATGAAAGGACTTCAGTGTCTTCTTTACCCTGCAGGCTATGTCCTTCAAAACACAGCCTCATTTCTTGGCCTCCATCGTTAGCTGTAGGTTCTATGAGTCCAAGGCTAAAGAAGGGGTGGGGGGGGTCGTTCTTTACACCCCATGGGCCATATCCCTTGTGAGGGATTTGCAGATACCTCACTTCACATAATCAGTAAAACCCACAGATGGAGGATGTCTCTCCTGCCTCGGAGATGAGTTCCCCTGCCCAAGGTCCCCTGCTGGCCTTGAACCTAGGTCTTTTGATACTAAGTCTAAGGCTCTCACCATTATTTCACTCAAGAGTAATCTGGTGATTCATTTAGGAAAGGGAACAAGATGTCTGGACCTAGGGTTTCAGTGGGTGCCAGATGAGTCCAGGCGGGGCCTCGAGGAACTCCCACCTAGCAGATCTCCAGGATCAATCTCCTTCTGTCAGTTTCATTAATAATAATAACACATAGAATACAATTGACATCATATTTAAAATAATACTTAGCTCCAAAGGTT